GTGGTCACGTTAGCATTTAAACTAAATATTTATAGACCAAATATTGGTACACTAAATGTACATTAAATTACTATGTTATAATTAGAACAGCACAATTAACAGAACTTGAATATTATATACAACACACAATGTTAATACATACTTAAAAATTAAATTCTAAATTAAATTCTACCTTTTTGTCAAGTTCTAACTAAGGTAGGTCCAGCATTTTAATATCTAAATTAGTGCTTCTGTAAATGATTACCTTAAAAAAATAAATTTAGTATGACATAAAGGATAATTTAGGTTATGTTCATTACCCAGTTTTTGACATAGTACTATTTTATTTCACCGAGCGCTAATATTAGTCTTTAGCAATCCTTAATAAGTGAGGTGATAAATGAGATTTTTGCCCCTGTAATTAGTGGCTGTTTTAATAGATACCCTTCCCACATTTCAAAAAATATATATCAGTCACCTTCCTATACAAGACTATTAGAGAAAACAGTTTAAAATTTGTTTTAACAGGCTGTTTAACCAAGTTGTTGTTATATATTACCAATAACAGGTATTGGCCATAACAAGCTATTACATAACAACATTGTAGTTTCATTAATATGTTTTAGCTGATAGAAACATTTATTGCACCCTACTCCCTTTCCAGGCTGTGCTAACCGCTAGTGGGACAGTTTTAGTGGAGGGCCATAACCTAATAAAGTAAGCATTTAGGGAGGGGTTGGAACAGCAGCTGAGTGGTGCCTTTATCATCCAGTGATTGTGGTGGCTGTTTACTCCAGAATAAATCGTTCACCATGAAGCACTGCAGCAGCCTCCTTAGATAGTCCATTGTTGGCAGACGTGTTGAGCTCAATGCCAGAGGTGTATTCTATGGGATTTAGTCCCTTGGGACTTGAAATCATACTTTTCTTAGTAGTGTTTTTTGTTTTTGTTTTTTTTGGTATATGAATTTTACTTTTTATTAGTTTGCACATTGTACAGAATTCAAAAGGTATAAAGCTATACACTGAAAAGCCCCCCTTGTACCCTAGCCTTGTTTTCCCCAGCACCTTGGAGACAACCAGTGCTGATAATTTTTTTTCTTACTTTGTTTAATGTTTGTTCTCTATATTTCATGAACATTTTTTAGGATATATAAAATACATGAAATCGTAAGATTTTAATTATTTCTTTTTTGGTGGGACTAGGGTGTGAACTCAGGGCTTTGTGCTTGCAAAGCAGCCAGTCTACTACTTGAGCCATGCCACTGATATTTTTCTCTTAAATGATAAGCATTTAGGATATAACTTAAGGTTTTGTGGAATTGTTTTGTATACCAAATCTGAGTGAGGACTTTAAGTAAGTAAATTTTCTTTCTACTTATAATTTTAAAACTTGATTTTTTTCCCTTGAGGTTTGTAGATGTAGGTTGAGGGACTGTAAATCCCATTACTGAGTTTTATGAGGGAAGATCATTAATCTGATAAATAAAAAGTGATCTTGTGGCTTTAATGTTACTTTTGCTGATGAGGTTAAGTGTCTTTCCTCTGTATTTATTGGTTTGTTAATTATTAAATAATATTTCCTCTTCATATTTTAAGTCCTCTATTTGCCATATACAAAATTAAATTACTCTGTATTGTTAGATTTACTTACAGATTTTCTATTGACTATTTTCCCCATTTCTTTGCAGTGCTATACCTCCTCTATTTTTTTTTTTTTGGTGGTACTGGGGATTGAACCCAGGACATCACACATGCTAGACAAGTGTTCTACTACTTAAGTCACACCCAACACCATTTATTACTTCTTTTTAAGATTTTTAGGTGTGTTCATTAAACTTACTATTTTTGATGTGCTAGGCACTATTGTGAGTGTTTGGATTGGTTCTAGACCTGGAGATACAGCAGTGAATGAAGTCCTTTCCTCCAGAGCTTAGAATAGGAGATTTGCTTCATTTTACCTTCCAGATTTTGAAATGTATTCATTTATTTCAACTTATTAATTCTTTGCAGCAAGTATGTTTATTTATTTACCCGGTATTTATTTAGAGTTTATTAAATGATAGTAAGTCCTGCTTTGGGGACGAGGGGTGCTGTGTTGAGTAAGAGATAAGGTTCCTGCTCTATGGGGCTTTTATATTTAGTAAGAAGCAAATAAGGTAACATCAGCTAAGTGCCACACAGAAGACTGAGGTAAGGAACCCTGCAAGAAGGTGACTGTCTTGTGGCTTTAGATTTGGTAGTCACAATATGCCTATCTCAGTAGAAGACATTTCATCTAGGACCTGAGAGATAACAAAGGAATAGTGATTGCAGTGATCCATACAGGGAAACAGCAACTTAAAGGCCAGGCATTTGGCATAACTGAGAAAAGCAAGGAGACCAGCATGGCTGCATCATAGTGGTGAAGAGAGGGCAGATTGTGGAGGGCCAGCTTTGGAGTTTGGAATTTATTTCAAGTGCAGTAGGGAGCTAGTGGAGGATTTTTGAGTAGGAGATGATACACTCACTCTTGGTTCTATGTGAAGAGGGGACTAGGGGCTGGAAAACCAATGAATCATCCTTTTCCTCTCTTTTCTTTTTGATAACTCCTGTTGACTTCTAAGTCAACTTGAATGGCATGTAATCCCATTTCAGTCCGTATCCACTTTTATGTAGTTCTTAGTCATAAGTATTTGTCTCTCCCCTAACAAAAGATTTCCAGAGAAGATGTAATACATAATTTGATTTTGCATGGTGCTTCTCACAAACAATAAATGTATGCTTGTTGAATTGAATTTTAAATCACATGTCATTGTCAGGTGTTAAAATGTGTGTATTTTTTCCTAGAGACGTGGAGCTATTTCCTATGACAGTTCTGATCAGACTGCATTGTACATTCGTATGCTAGGTAAGCACTACTTATTTTATGTCATTATCAGTTAATTTTGTTGTATTATTATTTGACGTTAAGGTATCTTTCATTAAGTAGCTCTCATCATTGAAGCAGAAATAATTTATTATATTGAAGTTTAGAGTCTGGAAACCAGTATTTAATGATATGAATAAAGCGAGGCATTTTATTTTTAAAATTTTATTAGCATATAATAGGTCTACAAGGGGACATTGTGATATTTACATATGTGCTTACAATATATCTTAGTTAGATTTACCCCCGTCAATTGTTCTCCCTCTTTCTCCCTCCCCCTCTTCTCAGAACAATTTCAACATATTGTTCTGAGAATTCGTCTGTATTTATATATAGATAAAAATACATCCACTGTATTCATTCTCATTCCCCCTTTCCTTGTGCCCAGGCACCTTCCACTGGTACCCACCCTGGAAAAGACCTTCTGCCTTTCATTTTTTAATTTAAATGTATATTGATAGTCCAAGGGGGTTTTGCCTTGGTAATTCAGGCCTGTATATATCATGCTTTTATCAAATTAACCTCTCCTCCCCTGTTACTTACTCATTCTCTATCACCATGCTCCCCTAATATTCAATAACGTACAGTATAGTGCATTGTATTATAGTCATATACAGATGGGTTGTTTCAATATTTTTCATTCTCTCTCATTTTCTTTACCAAGAGAGGCATTTTAGATTTATAGACAATTGAGAAATCTCTAGTTTAATAACTGGGACACTGTCATTAGTAAAAAGTTTTAAATTGCCTCTTGAACATTCTTCATGGAAAATAGGTTTTTAAAAGTTGCTAAATACTAAAGAGATAAAAACTAACATGGATGAAGATGAGACCATAAAACACCTGATTATATAATCCTGTCACTAGAGGCATTTTGTTTTCAGCTGACTGGTGAGAAAGACCGTCTGTCATCTTCTAGTCCTGATGCTTTAAAATTTTATGTATTACTCAGTTTCACAGGTAAATGAATTCAGATATATGTATACTTTTTTCTCTCTCTTTGCCAGAATTACTCTGTCCACATTCACCATGATCCCTTGTATGCTAATTATTCTGTTGAACATGTACTGTTGAGGTTCCAATAGAAAAGTTTACTTTTGTTAGAGGAGTCTCCTGTGGCTTTTCTCTTCATGCTCAGAATTCCTCTCTCAACTTTGAGATACTGAGCCATTCTCATCTGGGTTTTTTTTCTTTTTTTTTTTAACTTCCTTCCCTAATTCCATTTAATACTCTTAAATCTAAGTGTTTCCCCAAGGTTCTGTTTTTACTGTTACTCCTTTTTTCCTTCTTTAATTTACCTTGTGAGTCTTACTCACCTCAATTCTGTTCTATCCTAGTACATATTTTTTCTTCTTGGATGTTCGGCTTTTTCTTCTTACCTGTGTCCCCACCCCCAAACATGTTCAGGATTCTACCCTTAAACCAGAGCTTTAGACACATATTTCTGTAGTTTTGTGGAACATCTCCACATGGGTGTGTTACAGATACCTCAAACTTAACATGTCTTTATATAAAATATATATATATATATATATATTTGTGTTCCCTAGCTGTTTGCTTTGCCATCTCAGTAGATATTTCTCCATTATCCCAGTTGTCAGGTCAAAAATTTGGAGTCATTCTTGACTTCTATTTCTGTTTCTTGTATATTCTATGTTTAATTCATAAGCAAATTCCAGTGCCAGACACTTTAAAAATACATATAGAATCTCACCACTTCAATTCTGGTACTACCCAATTTAGACCGTAGTTGCTGTGGTTGTTGTTTTATTGCTTTGTTTGTTATACTTCTTCTTCTGTTTTTTTGTTTTGTTTGGTTGTTGTTGTGGTTTTGAGAGAGAGTGTCTTGCTGTGTAGCCCAAGTCTTGAACTCACAATCATGCCTCAACCTCCTAAGTGCTAGAATTATAGGCCTGTGCCACCATGTCCAGCTTCCCAGCTGTACTTGTTCCTTAACAGTTCTTCCTGCACCCGCCTTCATGTCTCTATTCTATTCTAGTCTACACAGCCAGAGTAAACCTTTCCAAACATATGTGAAGTCATCTTACTTCTTTGATTAGAGCCTACAACGGTTTTCTAGAACCGCATCTAAAACTGTTATAATGGACACAAAGGCCCTACTGCCTTTCTGACCTCACTTCCCACTAGTTCTCTGATTTGCCTTACTTCTGCCATGCTGGCCTCCTTGTTTGTCTTTGAACATACCAAACATGCTATCTCAGGGTGATACGTGCTCTTCCTTATGCTTTGAAACCTCTTCCCCCGATAGCAATAAGGCTATCTTACTTCCCACATGTCCCTGCTCAGATGCCTCTATTCAGTGGGAAGTTTCTTGGTCACACTACTGAATCATCTTCCTCCATTCCTCCCTCTTGTTCCTCTTGCCTTACTTTAGCTTTCTCCATATATAACTTATCATCTTCCAAAGAATGAAATTATGTATTTGCTTTATTATTGTCTCCTTTCATGTGAAGATAAACTTCATGAAGACAGGGACTTGCTATATTTTGCTTACTGCTGTGTCCAATGCCTGACATATACAGTCGCTCAGTAAACCTTTGTTGCAATATGAAGGAATCGTCACATAAAAGAAGAGATCAGTCACTGGAATGGAGTCATGGTAGGGAAACAAAGAATAAGCAGGAGAGCCTTTCAGGCAAGAATAATTTGCAAGAGCACATGGATGGGGCTGAAGACTTGGGGTTGTAAAAATGTGGAGATTGTGAAAGTGTAATGAGAAAAGTACTGTATTTGGGACTCACAGGGTAGGTTTAATCCTGACTCATTTGCATGGAACATTTCTGCATTTTTATAAATAAAAACCAAAGTTTAATAACCAACTTTGGGTGTACCCACTGACAGTGAGAAGAGAGAAGACTGATCAAACACTTTTGGCAAATTCTGGAACATTTTCATTTACTACACATTTGTGAAATTGTAAATTTGAGGATAGCTATTGTATTTTTCACTTTTCATACCCCTTGTAGTTCATAGTATAGAACTAGGCATAAAGTGAACACTTAGTAAATACTTGCTTCTTGCTGTGACTTTTTTTTTTTCTGTTTTGTTCTGTTTCTTCCCCCTGAAGATTTTCTGTATGTTATAACATAAATTTTGTTTCTCAGTGACCTTTTTTTTATTCTAACTCCATGTGAATAATAAGATATTAGGTTGGATCATTATATACTTGAATCATCTTTTAGAAGGCTAACTTTAAAATATAAATTATGATTATTATTATTGTAGGGTAAATTTAACAACAACAAAAAAATCTTCCTTATCTAGCTTTACAACTCAGTTCTAAAAATTTAGGAACCCTTCAAATAAATCAGCCCTTAACTGTTTGTTCCATATGTGTTAGTGATAGGCCATTTCTTACGAGTATGTACTACATGAACCTCTTTTGCATATGGAGATTCTTCTTCACAAATAACAGCCTTCTAAACTTAGATTTTATTCTTGATTCTGTCTAGGAGATGTCCGCGTAAGAAGCCGAGCAGGATTTGAATCAGAAAGAAGGGGTTCACACCCATATATTGATTTCCGTATTTTTCACTGTAAGTATTGGCAGTCACAGTGTTTATCTTAGATCTTTAAAACTAAACTTTTGATCCTCATAAAATCATGTACTTTTCCCAGGGAAGAAGAATACAAGAAAAAAAGACTGTTATGTTTGGAATTTTTTAAAACATAAGGTCATAACTTATACTTTTAGAGAATGTTAATAAGTGTTTAGAGATAGAAAAGGAAGGTATTAAAATATTAAAGCTGGTATAGTTTTTCTTTTTTAGCACATTCTTCTTTAAAACAAATATTTTTTTGAAAAGTTGCTTTTATTACAAACAGTTTGCCTTCATGGCTTTTTACAAAATGTTTTTGTGCAGATGATAGTTTATAAAGGTATTTCAGAAGTTTAACCAGGTTTTATCTTTATGGTTTATTTGAAAATACACATGAGCCTCAAAGATGATGGTAGAATGTACATTTGAAAAACAAGTATTCTGTGTGGGACTAGCCTGTAACGGAAAGAGAAACAAACAAACAAAAAACCTCAGCACTTCTAAACCCCTTAGATTAAACATTGAACATTAAACATGTTTTTGAAGGAGTTCCACTATTGGTAACATTAGTAAGGAGTTTGGATTAACACTGTAAGAAAAATGAGAAAAATTAGGGAAAATATAAAAGACACGCACTTAAATTTATGAGAATGCTAATACAACAAAGAAATGAGTCTGGCATTTCAGGTAACCTTTCCCCTGAAGAGCATGTGTTGGTTCTAAAAAAGGTGGATAAGAAAGTGAGCCGAGCTTTGGACAGACACTTAAGGCCAGAGAAACAAAAAACAGGTGTGTAAAGCCCACAAAGGTTGCAGGGGTGAGAGAGCATAGATACTGGTAAACCGTCTGTGTTTGGGTTGAAATCCCAAAGTACTATCGACAACTTAGAAATAGATTCCAGCTTTGAAATATCCCAAGCACTGATTACGTTAAGGTGACATATTAGTCATTCCTCAAGGTTGCTAGCTGTAAACACAGTCCTGAGAAGTAGCCTAGGTAAAGTTGGTCAGGGCTTTTTGTTCTTGGCACACCCAGTAAGAATGAGCAGAGACAATTGGGGCCTCTGTGGAAGATGACTTCTTCCAGTAGTAATAAGTGACTCCAAAACTTTTTGGCATGAAACAGCTACTTTTTTTATGCACATGATTTTGTGAACCAGGAATTCACTTATGGTATATCAGATTTGACTTGCCTATGCTGGATGATGTCTTGGTCTTTAATTTGGAGGGTTCAAACGGCTAGAGATGGCTGGGATGGCTACTCTGGGACTATGGTTCTGTCTCCTACAATCTCTTGGGCCTGGAACCCCTGAGATGGCTTTTGCACTCTTGTGTTTGGTGCTAGCACTATAAAGGCTGGGATTTATGAAGCTGGCCAGCGTTTCTCTTTCTGAGCGTTTCTGTTAGTCTCAGGACAGTTGGACTTCTTACATAGCAGCTGCCTCTCCCAGAGCAAGCATTTTGAGAGAGGAAGAACAGGAACTCTGAGTCTCTGAAGGTCTGGGCCTGCACCTTGGCACAGTATCACATTTCCATATTCTGTTGATCAGCTATATTACACAGTTTACTCAGACTTATGGGGGGGACGGGTTGCAGGTCATAATTATCACAGGGAGTAAGGCCAAAACATTTTTAATCTGGCATAAAGTGTATTGAAAAAGTAATTGGGGTCCTAGAAGGAGAGGGAAGGGAGAAGGTAGCAGAAGCAATCTTTGAAGAGATATGCTCAGAAATCTCTAGAACTAGATAAAAGACATAATGGCACAGATTTAAGAAGTATTATAAGTCTCAAGCCGAATAACATTAAAAGAAAATAATACCTCACTCACTGTACAGTAGTATAACTGAAAATCAATGTCAAAGAAAAAAATAGTAAAATCAGTAAGAGAGAAAAATACACTACCTGCAGAGGAAGCATGCAAAGGCAGAAATGGATTTTGTTTCATTTTCTTTTTTCTTTTTGGCCTACACACCTTGAGCTACTCTACCAGCCTTTTTTTTTGTGAAGGGTTTTTTCAAGATAGGGTCTCATGAACTGTTTGCCTGGGCTGCTTTGAACTGTGATCCTCCTGATCTCTGCCTCCTGAGTAGCTAGGATTGCACGTGTGAGCCACCAGCATCAGGCTCATTTTCTTCTCTTGTGCTGCTCCAACTGAGGCAGTAGTTCCAGGGGGAACATTGGTTTCAGAGACACCTTGGTCCTGGGTATCCTGGGAAAGAGCAATGCAAACACCAGTGGTTCTGGTGGGAGTCATGAGGTGGGGGCAGGATCTAGGCAGATGCTCTTTATTTTCAACAGAAACCAAGAAGGTAGATAAAGGAAATAGACAGGTATGATATACTTAAAAAAAAAAAAGTTAACTGTCAGCCTAATATTTCATCCACAAATAGAGGGAAAAACACACACATCATAATTTCCAACATAGTCTTGATGTGGGCCTAACATGAACAGAAAATTATAGCCAAATCACTTATGGATATAGCCAAAAAATCCTAAATAACAAATTACCAATTTAAAATCTGTAATATATTGGAAGACCAACATACTTTGACCAATTTTCTGTTTTTCTAGAAATGTAAGGTTGATTTAACATTGAAAAATCAATGTAATTCAGTACATTAATAGAGTAAAGGAGGAAAGTTATGAGTAGATCAATATACTAAATGCTGAAATGACAGAACTAAATGCCGTAAGACTAAATGCTAATAAAATTCAGCATTCATTCTTTATCAAATTCCAAACAAGGGGTGGGGGGATAAAAGAGAATGATGGAGGAAGTGAATTCAATTATGATATATTTGATATATTGTAAGAACTTTTGTAAATGCCACAATAATAAAGAAAAAAAATTCCAAACAAGATTATATAGAGATGGGAGATAGCCAAGATTAGGCAAGATAAGGAATAATAAGTAATTTGAAGAAAGGCTTCTACAAAACTTAACAAGCATATTTAATGGTGCAGTATTAAAACTTTCTAAGATGAGAAATTAATAATATCATTTATCACTTTTTCTATTCAATATTGTTTTGGTCATCTCAGCCAGTATAATAATGTAAGAAAAAGAAATAAAAAGTACAAGACTTAGAAAAGTGCCATTATTTGTGGGCACTATGGCTGTACACTTAGGAAAATTATTAGAATTACTCAGTGAGTTTAGCAAGTTTACAGGATACAAAGTCCGTTGTATTCCTATAAAGCAACAGTGAAAGGATTGAGATAGTATGTAACTTACATTTGCATCAAAAATATCAAATATATAGGGATAAATCTAATTAAAAATGAGTATGAGAATGAATATAGAATTTTTAAACTTGTTGAACTCACCATAAGAAGAGGACTAAGGTAGAAAGGAGAAAAATGAAGGGAATGAACCAATTCAGGATACAATACATACATACATGTAAGTGTCATAATGAAACTCCGTATTGATATCTTAAACAAAAATGTCTTTTTTTCTCAAAAACAGAGGACAGGAACATCCTGTCTGTTGGTACCAGTGGGAGGATATAAGGAAAGGGTGTAGAGGGTGAATATGGTAGAAATATTATATACTCATGTATGCAAATGGAAAAATGAGACCTGTTGAAGCTATTCTAAGAATGGGGGGAAGGGGATAAAGGAGAATGAGGGAGGGGTGAATTTAAGATATATTGTAAGTACTTTTGTAAATGTCACAATGTACCCCCAGTACAACAATAATATGATACTAAAAGAACTGAAAGAAGAAAATGCCCCCCCCAAAATTTTTTAAGTCAAGTCAGAACTACAAAAAAAAATTCTAGTTAATAAAAACTCACACATGCCAAAGTGTAGAGCATGTCATACAAAATCCCTCCCTGGGGAAAAGAAAGAGTAGATGTTATAGAGAACAATGTTTAATTATTGTTTTTGAAATACAGTTGACCAGAAAAAAATTTTTAATGTGTATGACTCTGGAGAAAACCATAAGATATAACAGAAAAGTGAAAGAAGACCTAACGGAGGTATATACCATTGCTCATAGATCGGAAGACTCACTATTTAAAGATGTTAGTTTTCCTCAAATTGATACAGTCTTAGTGAAATCAGAGTGAAAATCTCACCTTTTTAAATGGAATCAACAAGCTGATTCTAAAACTTATAAAGATTGAGAAATCCAATAGCTAAGACAATAGGAAAAAGAGAACCAAAAGTTACAGTATTTCCTTCTCCTAGATAACAAAACTTACAAACTATAAAAATTAAGTCAAGGTGATGTTTGTTCAAGCATTGACAAATAAAATAATGTCATTTTATAGAGTCGAGAAATACCCACACATATATGGTATTTGATTTGTGACAAATGTGTTAAATGCAGCTGGTGGAAGATAAATGATGCTAAGTCAAAAGTTGTCCATATGGGGAAAAATAAATCTTGACCCTTATTCAAATTTGCCAAATTATGGGTTAATTTTGCCAAATTATGCTGATAAATCAGATAAGATGATGAATGAGTATTGATTTAACTATGTTGATAGAGGAAGCATGAGGTGAGAGGGTGTTTAAGGAAGATAGGAATTAGATATAGGAAATGGGGACAAGTTTTTTAGAGAGTTTTGCTGCAAGGAAAAAGAACTCTCAAAGGAAGTAAAATCACTGAAGTTAGAAATTAACAGCAAAGCTAGAAAATACTTAGGCTATATATAAAAAACTATGAAATTTAGCTAAAGCAGTGTTTACAGGAAAATTCATAACCTTAAAATATTTATATTCATAAATAAGAATGAAATAAGTCAAATAAGTAGTACAATCAAGAAGTTCGAAAAGTATATCTAAGAAAAAGTGAAAAAGATAATAGCAGAAATTTATGAATTAGGAAACTAAAATAAAAATAGCACTGTTGAATAAACTGAAAGTTGATTATTAGTAAATAGCTAGCTTAAGAAGGGATTAAATGAAGCTAAGATGCATACTCAAAAAATAAGTAAGAAAGCCCTCAAGGCTATGTAGTTTTTTTAGAGACTAAATATAATTAT